GGTTTTGTTTCTTCTGCCTTCTAATCTAACTATATCTAGTATTATCTTGTTCCCCACATTTCCCACCTTTTTGTCACTATATCATTCCCAAATTGGTCCTACTTAGGTATGTTTGATCCTTATGATCTTTCTATCTTTGGTTTGCCTATTATTGATTCCCCTAAGGTGTTCCGACAATGGTTTAGGATCTACAATGAACCCATATCTCAAGCCAAATTTGCTGCCACCATTAGTTTTTTGACCAATCTGTACCTCAAGCCAAACCTGCTGCCACTATTTCTGCAGATGCCTCAGGTCTTAATGTTATACAGTAACTCGATGCTGCATTTAACTTCCAACATGATGCTTCCTTTTATAGTAGAGACTGGAACTTGTTGCACTTACAAACAAGACAATTCTAGTTATATCTAGGGAGTTCCTCCAACCCTAGTGATACCATACTACTATGTATTGCAAGCTCTCAGCTTATTCGACAATATCTGCAAGACAATTCTGGTTATACCCAGGGAGTTACACCAACTCCAGTGATGCCATACTATTTTGCAGATCTTATCTCATATTGGTTGGTTGATTCCTAGTTTTGTTCATCATAGACTTCCATATAGGTATAACCAGAACCTGATTTGGTACTTTTACATTGTACAAGAAGGTTATATACTTACCTCCAAGACTTCCTTTCTATAATTAGATTATTTGGCTATGCCAGAGATGCTTTCAATATTGGTTATACCAATCTTTTATCACAGTCCATCCTCGTGTTCACTGCTTCTCTCACCATTTCAGTCTTGATTACTTGTCAGACTACTCTCCCAATCAAATCTTCTTCTTGGATCCCAATTAAGACTTATTTGCACAATCCATTAATTATCTTTTCAAGCAAGTACCCCACAAGTTGGGTGCAAAGATGTTGGTACTGCCTATATTAGGAGGTATAAGAATATTGGTGTTGCTCTAGCCTAAAGGACTTACATGACAATCTTTTCATAACTGTAACCTTCTGTAACAACTACTTGTTATGCATAGTGCCTGCACTTCATGATTGGGTCTCCTTCTGGAAATTCCTATTTCCATCATTGCACTGCACTTGAACTTAACCACAGGGTTTCACATTCAATTACAGGCTCCTTATTAGGTTACAGAAACTAAAATCTTTCAATTTTGCCTCCAGCCGAACTTGAATCGTTGACCTTGACTGTGAAGGATATAGAAGCTTAACCACTAAGCTATGGGATCCACACCCATTAATATATATATTAATAGCACAAATAAAACATTAGTTAATATATTTTTGTACTTTTATTTGTAAAATACCAATATATGTATTTTATAGAGAATGCAAGATATGTACTATAGTAGTTATGATAGTTACTTTACCATAAAAATGTTTTAATAATAAAGCATATAACTTAGTATTTTATCTAAAAACTATATAACATCATTTATACTTGGTTTTATTATCTTTAAAAATTACAAAAATGTAAAAAGCTATATTATCTAACTTAAATTTTTTGTAACATTTTTCAAATTTATATTTTGTACTAAAATCTTAAATGTATAAAAAAATAATTTTTAACTAAATATTTTTATTTTTATTTTTTTACAGTTAAAGTTTCTGTCTATAGAAATTGATGTTTTTATTTATATATTTAAACACAAATGTCTCTAGGGGCTTCCTTACATTGAAGGTTACAACTAGCTACATATATACTTTTGGTGTCTAATTTAAGTAGTTTGCTTATATATTACTATACAGATTCTACACTAGGCATAATATCTACAAGCCAACTATAGGTTTTGCCTATTTAAACCCTTTGTATATGCAGTTCATCATGTCTTATAATAACATCTTTAAGGCTATACTTATCCAAAATACCTGATGTCTTCAAGGCCTCTTAAGACTAGTTTATTCTTAACAGAAAACTTACTAGAACCTTTTATGTCTCACATACAGCTGATCTAGTTTTATGTAATTTGCTATAATTGCCTAATACTTGCAATCATAGAGGTTACCTGTTTAACCATTATGTTATACTATTTCTATTCTTATAAAGTTCACTAGAATTCTAGTATCTATTATTATAACATCTTCTTTATCATTCTTTACTAACTACTACTTAGGACCAACAGGACTCTCCTAACTTCTAATTAAGATGGCCCAGTAAGCATAATGGAAGTTTGTTTTTATTGGCTGAATGTTTGTCATATATGTTATACAAATTGAAGATCATTCTGCACAAATCACATAATTGACATATTTTATTAATCAATAAAATGTCAAATAATTTATCACGTGCATAATTACTTCGCATTTCGCTTCATAATGGTAAAGAGTGTATTCACATAATATACAAAACTAAAACTGAGGAAAGATCTATGCAATACAGTAATTAGCCAAAACATTAAAATAGATAACTAATTATTAACATAAGCAAATAGATAGGCCAATTCTATTATATAGTGTGACTCCAGAATTTGGTGAGTCTGTTGCTAAACTAATCCAACTCTCACGTAACCTATGGCAGCTAAGTTGAAAGAGGCATGTTAGATTTGGCTGGTGGTTTATTCGTAGATAAGTAATTGTCTTTTTTCTTTTAGTTCTTCCTTCTTTCTATTCTTTTATTAACTATTGTTCTTCTCTTGTCTACCTCAACCCAGGATTACTCTACGTCGAATTGGGGTTGGAACTCTCCTATTACGTTATGGTTTGGTCATATGACTTATAGCAAGCAATCAACCTGTAGTTTTGGTGATTTATAGATGAACAGTTGGAATAACAGCGGGATTAATGATAGTTTATTAGCTTGTATAGAGTGCTACTTTCACTTTTATTAAGGGTCAGGTATTTACTGATACTAGAAGATTATTTTGTATTAGGGACGACTCTCTCTTCCTTAGAGTCATAATGCCCTTTATTTATAATAATGTCTTATTTACATTTGTAATCAATTTATGCTATAAATGCATGATATTCCTTATGCTCAATATATTAACTAAATGTAATAAAAGGCCGATATGTTATTTAACGCATATATGGCCGAAGTAGCAGAAGTGACATAAGTACTATAAGTACCATAAGTAACATTTTCAGTACTTTGCCTGTGACCTTGGATCAGGTAAGGATTGTTACCCTGATTTGGACACCTGTGATCCTAAAAATCGAGCTCACAATAGCATTAAATAACGCGAAACACCATTTTAGGATACGCAAAGTTTTTAATAAATAAAAATAGATTAAATTATATAGTAATATGATGTAATAAACGTAAAATAAATAAATAAATAAGTTTAATTTTTTAAATTGAAAGTAAAGTTTAAAATTTATTGTATATGTTATAATGATCAGAAAAAATCTTGGCCCTTGCTCAGTTTATAATTGTCAAATAAATCCTGATCAGTATTATGGAATTACAAACAATGTACTAAAATAAGCAAAAGAAAAAGGCACTTTTGATCAATATAATTATCTAGAAGTTGGAAAGCAATTATGTTATTTTCATTATCTTAGCATAATTGATCGCAATAACACATATAAGTCTTCAGCCAATAATGAAACAGATATAATTGAGCTTGAATCTTCTATGAAAATTGATAAATTAGATAGTTCAACAGAAACTCTATTAACTGATGATGAAATAAAAAAATTAAGTGCCGATGAATTAGTTAGTTTAATTGAAAAACTAAAAAAAGAGCTAGAAAGTAGAGGAAAAGATGTTAATCATAATAATGCCAATAAGTTAATATGTAATAATCATAATAACATAATTATAAGCAAATCATTAGCTTTTGGTGATAAAATTACTTTAATGACTAAAGTCTTCTACGAAAAACAAAGAAAAGAAAATCAAGTACTTGAGTTGAATCCAGATAATTTTCAATTAATGCTTGAGAATTCTAAACCATTATTAAGAGGATTTTTTAATAAACTATATGAAGCATTGATTCCAGATAGATGATCTGCTTATAATAAGAAAGAGAATAAAAAAAAAGTAATTAATATATGCTATTCAATAGCAGCAATTCATAATAAATTTGTTAACAATTATTCTTTTAAGATTAGTTTGTATCTTGCAGCATCCAGTGCATTATGTGATGCAATTAATATCATGCATAATGCTGGTATTACAGTCTGTTATAAGACTGTAGAAAACTATAGAAAAAAGATTGCAAGTGAGCATTCAAGAAATATTTGAGAATATTTTACTGAAAAGGTAATAATATTTTTTTACATCTATTTAACCTTAGTCATAATCCAATTAGTTCAAAAACAAACACTGGTTTGAATGGATTTGTGTTTTAAATAATGACTTCATAAATTATTAATTAGAATTAGTTGATTTTTTTAATAGAATAACAGCTTTTTCATATACAATATTGATAACTATCATAATATACATAAAATAAGACGTCCTGATACTGTATTACTCTCGGCACCAATTCATTTTGCAACTTGTATCAGCAAGGAAATTTTTAAGTACACTCTTATTCCAATTAATTATAACAGTGGTTCAGTTTATAACTCTAAAAATGTAAATGTGCCATTAATTTGTCTAAATTTAATTACAAATTATCATGGAATCTTTGATCTTTCATATTCACAAAGGAAGAATCAGTGGGTTGCTTTACAAAAAACAGAGTTACTTAATTTTGATAAAATCGATCTTCTTTCTGTTTATTGCTATAATAATGCTATTAAAAATCTGCAAAAAGAAAGAAGTACAGAAGGAGTAAGATTAGTTGGAATTAAAGAGAGCAATCTTCATTCTTTAGATAACTATCTAAATGCACTAGAAATGATTCTTTTTATAAATCGAGATATTGGACACACCAATTGTATAATTCCAATCGTTGCTGACTGGCCTGGTTAACTTTTTATACGAAAAGCATTAACATACTTATATTTACAAAATAAAAAATCACAGATACCTGCAGATGTTAATGCC